TCATTTTTGGAGGTCTTCCACTTTTCAACTGCTGTCTTATCTGCAAATAGCCTCTCCCAATCAACTTTTTAAAGTTCTTGCCTTACACCATCAAAATTGACTTTGTTTCAAGTTAGATCTTTCCTTTTCCATCACAATTTTAAAACTAATAGAATTATGGTCGCTGGCCCCAGAGTGCTCCCCCACTGACACCTCAATCCCCTGTCTTGCTTTATTTTCCAAGATAAAATCAAGTTTTGCTCATTTTCTAGTAGGTTCATCCACATACTGAATCAGAAAATTTTTTTGCACACACTTAATAAATTCTTCTCCTTCTAAGCTCCTATCACTATGGCAGTCCTAGCCCATGTTTGGGAAGTTAAAATGCCCTAACCATTACAATCCTATCATTCTTACAGATATAGTAGGAACTGCAGATGCTGGAGAATCTGGGATAACAAGGTGCACAGCTGGATGAACACAGCAGGCGAAGCAGCATCAGAGGAGCAGGAAAGCTGATGTATCAGGCTTAGATCCTTCTTCAGAATTCAGATATCTGAGATCTCCTCACAAATTTGCTTTTTAAATTCCTGCTGGCTTTTGGGAGGCCTATAGTACAATCCCAATAAGGTCATCATCCTTTCTTATCTCTCAGTTCCACCCAGAATAACTTCACTGAACGTACTCCCAGCAATGTCCTTCATAAGTACAGCCATAACGTTAACTCTAACCAAAAACACCACTCTCCCTCCTCTCTTGAACCCTCCTTTCAAGATTTAAGAAGAATTCAAAATGGTGCTGATATATGTCGACTCTTTACTAGCTCTCTATAGAACATCTTATTTTTAGATTTCTTACAGTCCTGTCTTTTTAAACCCCAATTCTAAGCCTGTCAAAATTATTAACAATTTTCTCTTAAGTCTACTTGCAAGTTTGAAGATTCTGCAATTGTCCAGAACTGAGTATTATTAATGCTGCATCTACTAGCTAGAATAAACCTACTGACTTCCTACAGACCTGACCTTCTCGACTATGAAGAATCCTGGAACCGAGGCTCAATCAGCCCAGGAATGATTGCTGACCCCACAATGACACAACCCCAAGACAAACAAATCCAACCCAGAATGAAACCTGTCCCTGCAGTGACCTGACCCTGGGAAGCCCGATCAGTCCAGGAACAACAACGTTAAGGGAACTGGACAACGTGGAGGCCCGATGGAATCAAATCCAAGTCTACCTGCAGTGCCCGAAACCATGATGCCTACCCAAGACCCCATTGGGAGGAAACACTTACGTTCCAGAGCAGCAGACTTGCGTCACTGATGCCTGGGATTGACCAGGAGCAGCCACCTTACCAGGAAATGTGGAAGATACACTTGCCTACGATGAGACTGAAATCTCAGGTTCAAGACCCCGTTTCTAGCGTACTCCTGGCAAACTTCCAAACTACTCAGAACAAAATAGATGAATGTAAATCTACTCTTACCCTCCAGAGAGAACTGAGTGATTGTTGTGAGTTCTGATTTACAGAGGCCATGGCTCACTCACACTACAACTGACTGTGCCTTACAGCATGAAGGTTTCTCTATTCACTGCATGGGTAAAGCAAGGGGCAGTGGGGTTTGCCTCCTAATCAATAACTCCTGGTGCTCAGATTGGCGAATCTGGTGAGTTACTGTTCCCCCAGCCTAGAATGTCGCACAGTGAAATGCTGTCTCTACTTTCCTACTTGAAGAGGGCAGCAGAGTGATGATGCTAATTGGTTGACATTGGGAAGATCTGCATCAGTGCAGTCACTGCTTCCAGAAGGTGAACTTCATCAAGACACCCTCCATGTTCAAGTGAAGGTGAGTACCTTGAAGAGGGCAGAAAAGTGGTGACACTGATTGGCTGATGTGGGGAAGGTCTGCACCAGTGCAGTCACAGACTCCAGAAGGTGATTTGCACAGGGGCCGTTGTCAAGTGGTGCAGTTGTCAGGTGAAGGTGCTAAACTGGGGGAAGGCTAATTACAACAATATTAGGCAGGAACTGAATAATGTAGATTGGAGGCAGATGTCTGAGGGCAAATCAACATATGGCATGTAGGAGACTTTCAAGTTTAAGATGATGGGAACTCAGGACTGGCACGTTCCTTTAAGGATGAAGGATAAGTATGGCAAGTTTAGGGAACCTTGGATAATGAGAGATATTGACAGCTTAACCAAAAAGAAAAAGGAAGCATTTATCAAGGCCAGGAGGCTGGGAACACACGAAGCAAGGGTGGAATACAAGGAAAGTCAAAAGAAACTTAAGCAAGGAGTCAGGAGGGCTAAAAGGGGTCATGAAACGTCATTGTCCAACAGCATTAAGAAAAATGCCAAGGCTTTTTATACATATATAAAAAACAAGAGGGTAGCCAGGCAAAGGGTTGGCCCATTCAAGGACAGGTAAGGGAATTTATATGTGGAGCCAGAGGAAATGGGCAAGATATTAAATGAGTACTTTGTGTCAGTATTCACCATAGAGAGGAACTTCGTGGATGATGAGTCTGGAGAATGGTGTGTAGATAGTTTGGGTCATGTTAAGATCAAAAGGGAGGAGGTATTAGGGGTCTTGAAAAACATTAAGATAGACGAATCCCCAGGGCCTGATGGGATATACCCCAGAAAACTGAGAGAGGCAAGGGAGGAAATTGCTGGGGCCTTGAAGGAAATCTTTATATCCTCACTGGCTACAGGGGAGGTCCCAGAGGATTGGAGAATAGCCAATGTTGTTCCTTTGTTTAAGAAAGGTGGCAAGGATAATCTAGTTAATTACAGGCCGGTGAGCCTTACGTCTGTGGTAGGGAAATTACTGGAGAAGATTATTCGAGACAGGATTTACTCGCACCTGGAAATCAGTGGGTGTATTAGCAAGGCAACATGGTTTTGTGAAGGGCAGGTCGTGTCTCACTAATTTGGTTGAGTTTTTTGAGGAAGTGACGAAGAAGATCGATGATGGCAGGGCAGTGGATGTTGTCTACATGGACTTCAGTAAGGCCTTTGACAAGGTCCCTCATGGCAGGCTGATACAGAAGGTAAAGTCGCATGGTGTCAGAAATGAGCTTGCAAGATGGATAAAAAAACTGGCTCGATCATAGAAGACTGAGGGTAGCAGTGGTAGGGTGCGTTTCTGAATGGAGAGCTGCGACTAGTGGCATTCCTCAGGGATCAGTGTTTGGAAGATTTGGAGGAGAATGTAACTGGTCTGATTAGTAAGTTTGCCCATGACACAAAGGATGGTGGAATTGAGGATAGTGATGAGTACCGTCAAAGGATACAGCTGGATATAGATTGGTTGGTGGCTTGGGCAGAGAGATGGCAGATGGAGTATAATCCGGAAAAATGTGAGGTAATGCATTTTGGAACATCTAATCCAGATGGAAAATACATAATAAATGGCAGAACTCTTATGAATGCTAATAGACAGAAGTATCTGGGTGTACGGGTACACAGGTTACTGAAAGTAGCAACGCAGGTGGAGAATGTAGTCAACAAGGCATATGGCATGCTTACCGTCATCAGCTGGGGCATTGAGTTTAAAAATTGGCAGGTAATATTGCAGCTTTATAGAACTTTAGTTAGGCCGCATTTCGAGTATTGTGTTCAATTCTGGTCGCCACACTACTAGAAGGGGAGGTGATGGCCTAACAGTATTATTGCTGGACTGTTAATCCAGAGACTCAGATAATGTACTGGGGTTTGGGTACAAATCCCGCCATGAAAGATGATAGAATTTGAATTCAATGAATATCTGGAATTAAGAACCTAATGATGACCGTGAATCCATTGTCGATTGTTGGAAAATGTCCTGTAGGGAAGCAATCTGCCATCCTTAACTTGGTCTGGCCTACATGGGACTCGAGACCCACAGCAATGTGGTTGACTCTGAACTGCCCTCAGGGCAATAAATGCTGCCTAGCCAGTGATGCTCCTCATCCTATGAATGAATAAAAAGAAAGGGCGTAGTGGCTTTGGAGAGGGTACAGAAAAGATTTACCAGAATGATGCCTGCATGGAGAGCATTAGCTATGAGGAGAAACTTGGGTTGTTTTCACTAGAACGACAGATGTTGAGGGGCGACTTGATAGAGGTTTACAAGATTATTAAGGGCATGGACAGACTGGACAATCAGAAGCTTTGTCCCAGGGTGGAAGAGTCAGTTACCAGGGGTTTAAGGTGCAAGGGGCAAAGTTCAAAGGTGATGTACTAGGCACATTTTTTACACAGAGGATGGTGGGTGCCTGGAAATCGTTGCCAGGCGAGTTAGTGGAAGCAAATACTATAGTGACTTTTAAAGGGCATCTTGACAAATACATGAGTAGGATAGGAATAGAGGGATATGGTCCCCAGAAGAGTAGGGAGTTTTAGTTGTGATGGGCAGCATGCTGGTACAGGCTTGGAGGGCTGAAGGGCCTGTTCCTGGACTGTAATTTTCTCTGTTCTTCGTTCTTTGTACTACCTGCCATGTAATTTCACCTCTGCTATCCTTAGAGCAGTATACATAACATCCCATGCAGAAGTGAAGAGTCCTTTTGATGAAATATACTCTGTTACGAATGGAATTGAGACAGAATACCCCGAGGTATTCTTATCCACCATAGCCAGTGACTTCAAGCACACCAAACTCAAGAGAGTGCTATCATCAACATGCTTCCTGCCCCACCATGGACTGAACACTTGACCATTGCTACACAACCATCAAAGATGCCTAGCACTCCATAAATCATCCACATTTTGGAAAATCAAATCACAATGTTCCTCCTCCCAGCTAACAAGCAGAAGTTGAAACGTGAGGATCCAGTACAGAAAGTAGTACAGTGCTGGTCTGAGGCAACTTAAGAGATTCTGATGGTCTGCTTTGAATTGGTGGACCAGTCCATTTTCAAGAATTCAATGGCTAATCTAGATAAGTATGCCAGTGCTGACACAGACTTCATTAACAACTGTGTAGAGGGCTTCATGCCAAATAAGTCAATCTATATGCTCCCCAACTGGAAACCATGAGTGAACCAGGAAATGCATTGCCTACTGAAGACCAGGTATCGGCATTCAAGTCACACTATCCTGATCTTTCCAAGAAATCCTCTGTAAGACCTTTAGAGATGCCAAAAGGCAATACCTGACTAATCCAAAAACGCAAACTAGCCACATGGGCACCTGCCATTTGTAGTCAGGCCTACATGACAATAACTGGCTACAAAGTGAAGCAGAACAGAATAGCAGGCAAAAATACATCCCTCGCTGATGCTTGCAATGCATTCTACACTCAGTCCAAAGAGAAGGTCAGCAAAGGACCCAATAGCCTCAGATTCACCTATGTCCTCAGTCACTGTTACAGACATCAGATTGGCTTATTTGACAGTGAATCCATAAGAAAGCAACTGGCCTAGGTGGAGTCCCTGCATTCAGATACTGTGCAGACCAGTTTGCAGATGTATTTGCTGACATCTTTAACTTCTTATTACAAATCTGAAGTCCCCATCTGCTTAAAGAAGACCACCATCATCTTGGTATCAAAGAAAACTCATATAATGTGCCTCAATGACACTGCCCAGTGGCTCTGACCTCAATAATTATGTACTGTCTAACAGATTTTCATGGCTCGTATCAACTCTAGACTCCTAATTTGTTTTGACCCCTTGAAATTCACCTTCTGTCTCAATAGGTCCATGGCATACTCCATCTCCCTAGCCCTATACACATCTCTGGAACACGCAGATAACAAGGATACCTAAGTCAGACTTCTACTTATTAACTACAGCTCTGTATTCAATAGAAAATGAAACTAACCTCCAAATTCCAAAAACTAAGTTTCTCTCTGAAATTGGATCCTCTGCATTCTCAGCCTCTTATTGTGTACTCTCTGTACACTCATGACTGTGCTTTTTAAAAATAAACTCATGACTGTGAGGCCAAATTTTGTCTTAACTCCATCTGTAAGTTCACTGATGACACCACTGTTGTAGGCTGGATCTTAAACAATGATGAGACAGAACACAGCATACAGATAGAGTGCTTGGAGGCATGGTTTAAAGTTGACAATCTCTCTCTCAACATTAGCAAAACTAAAGAGCTGGTCGTTGACTTCAGGAAGCAAGATGGAGGGCACATTCCTATCTAATTCAATGGAGCTAAGGTGGAGATGGATGACAGCCTCAAGTTCCTTGGAGTGACTATCATCAACAATTTGTCCTGGACCACTCATGGCCGAGAAGGCACTCAGGAGGCTAAGGAAATTCGGCATGTCAATAATGGCTCCTACCAATTTTTATGGATGCAGCATTAAAAGTATTCTATCTGGATGCATTACAGATTTCTACGGCAACTGCACTCCCCATGAATGTAAGAAAATACAGAAAGTTATGTGCGCAGCCCAGATCACCATGCAAGCCAATCTTCCATCCATTGACTCCAACTACACTTCTCGCTGCCTCGGAAAAGCAGCCAACATTATCAAAGACTCCTCACAACCCGGTAAAATCTCGTCCAACTTCTTCTATGAGACAGAAGATACAAAAACTTAAAGACACATACCAACAGGTTCAAGAACAGCTCCTTCCCGCTGTTATTAGACTTCTGAATGGGCCTCTCAAATTTTAGATCTAATGTTGTTCTTACCTTTCGTGCACCTTCTCTGCGCCTGTACATTGTATTTCTTGCCCTGCTTTATCAAGCCTATGAAATTTGTATGATATGATTTGTCCGTACTGAATGCAAAACAAAACTTTTCACTTCATCTAGGTACATGTGACAACAATAAATCAGAAGTCACACAACACCAAGTTATATTCCAGCAGGTTTGTTTGAAATCACAAGCTTTCAGACTGCTGCTCCTTTGTCACTGACTCTTCACCTGATGAAATAGCAGCACTCCAAAAGCTTGTCATTTCAAATTAACCTCTGGACCATTACCTCGTGTTAAGTGACACCTGACTTTGTCCACCACAGTCTCAGACCGGCACCTCCACATTGATAATAAAGCAAACCAAATCAAAAGAATTCTATTCTTCCTTTACCTGGGAACATTTAGTTGCCAGTCCTACTGGGCAGTCCTTGTCAGTCCTGTGCCTTGTGATATCCCACTCCCAATCCCAATCATGCCCTGAGTCCATCTGTCTTACCTGTCAGCCCCTTGCATTGAAATAAATGCTGTTTAATTTAACAGTCTTACCTCTTTCACTGCCTTTTTCTTGCCTGCATTGTCTATTTGACTTGCTCCTCTTCTCAACTGGAACACTCTCAGACATATCTTGTATTCAATACCTCTCTGGGATCTCCCCGCAACCAGTGTAAAGCTTCAATGAGTTGCCAGAAATTAGTCCCCTTCTAATTCAGATGCAAACTGTCCTTTTATCATGTCACTTCCACCTCAGATGAAATACCAAAGATCAAAAAATGCAAATTTCTGCCTCTCGTACCAAATCCTCAGATGCATTCATCGGCTTTATCCTCCTATTCCTTCTGTCACTAGCAAGTGGCATCAGGAGTAATCCAGATATTATTACCCTTGAAGGCCTACTTTTTAACCTCCTGCCTAGCTTTCTATATTCTCCCCTCAGAATTTTGTCCTTTTCTCATCCTATGCCAAGTTGTGCAAAGACCTCCTGCTGGTCACTCTCCCCTTCGAGAATATTCTTCACCCTCTCCAAGACAATTTTGATCCTGGCACCAGGGAGGTAACAAACCATTCTGGTGTCTCGCTGTCAGCCGTAGAAACGTCTATCTGACTGGACTGTCCCGTATCAGAATTAATCACTTGCAACCTGACGTACCCTTCATTATATTAAAGTCAGTCTCAGTACCAGAAACTTGACTATCAGTACTACAATCCACTGAGAGTTCATCATACCCTACATTTTCCAATACAGTATACTTATTTGAGATAATGATAGTCACAGGAGATTTCTGCTCTTCTTGCCTACCTCTCATTTTATTCTTAGAGGTAACCCACCTACCCAACTGGATCTGCTGTTTTTCTACCTTCTGGAAAACAGGGTCTAGGCCTGAAACGTCAGCCTTCCTACTCCTATGATGCTGCTTGGCCTGCTGTGTTCATCCAGCCCTGCACCTTGTTGTCTCTCATCTATCACACACCCTGGTTTCTGTAAATTTCTCATGCCTCTAACTGCTATTCTGATAAGATTCGCAACCAAAAACACATCTTGCAGACATAATCATCAGGAGCATTGAACTTCTCCTTAGTCTCCCACATCCAACAGGTAATACACATCACTCTACTGAGGCCATCTTTGCACTTTAATTAACATAACCAGAAAACAGCAGTTTTACTGCTCTTAAACCACTGTTCTAGGATAATTTAACAACTATGCTTTGTATTTTTAAAAAAATTAATCAAGAGACAGATCTCAATAAAACATTAAAAAAGTCACCCAACTATAGATTTACAATAAAAACACATCAAGACTAATAAGGCTTATAAATCTAAAAGACAAACACTTAGCTGATCTTAGAAATCCTGACAATCCCAGCTATTAGTGATTCTGATAATGAAGTCTCACCAAGGTTAGCTGTGAATTTCACTACGAGAGAAAGAACAAAACAATCTTCTCTTGGGAAATAAGATAGAGCAGGTGTCAGTGGTGGAGCACTTTGAGGCCAGTTATCATAATTATATTAGATTTAAAATATTTATGGAAAAGGATAGAATAATTTAAAAGTTAAAGTTCTAAATTGCAATTGAGCCAATTTTGACGGCATTAGACAAGAACCTTCAAAGTTGACTGGAGGAGGCTGTTCACAAGCAAAGGGATGGCTGGAAAGTGAAAGCTTTCAAAAATTAGATAATGAGAAATTTGAGGCTGGTAAGTGGAGGGAATGCTGGATGTCTAGATAAATTGAGGCTCTGGTAATGAAAAAGGAAGCACATGTCAGATATAGACCGTTATAGTACACTTAACAGGGCAATCTGGAGGGCAAAAAGGAGTTGTGACATTTATCCGGTAAATAAGGTTAAGCAGAATCCCTAGATACACTAAAAGAGAAATAAGAAAGGGATGAACACCTATTGAGATTGCACTATATACCCCCCAAGAGTCAGTGGGAAACTGAGAAACAAATTTGTAAGGAGATCTTTGTTATTTGTATGAATAATAGGGTGGTTATGGTAGGGGATTTTATCTTTTCAAACACAGACTGGGAAGCTATAGTGTTAAGGGCTTGGATGGAAAGGAATCTGTTAATTGTGTATAGGAAAATTTTCTGATTCGCAATGAGGATGTACCTAATAGTGAAAGTGCAAAGTTTGACTTTCTCTTGGGAAGAAAGGCAGGACAGGTGACTGAGGTGTCAGTAGGTGAGCACTTTAAAATAGTGGTGAAAAAGGATAGACCGGATCTAAGAGTTAAAGTCCTACACTGGAGAAAGGCCAATTTTGACGGCATTAGGCAAGAATTTTCAAAAGTTATTTGGGGGTGAATGTTTGCAGGTAAAGGGATGGCTGAAAAATGGAAAACCTTCAAAAATGAGATAGCAAGAGTCTAGACACAGTATGTTCCTATTAGGGTGAAGGGCAAGTCTGATAGGTGCAGAGAATGCTGGATGGTTAGAGAAATTGAGGTTTTGATCAGGAAAAGAAGGAAATATGTGTCAGATATAGACAGCGGAGATCGAAGGAATCCTTAGAAGAGTATAAAGGCAGCAGGAGTATACTTAAGAGAGAAATCAGGAGGGCAAAAATGTGACATGAAATAGCTTTAGCAAATAGGGTTAAGGAGAATGCAAAGAAAATCTACAAATACATTAAAGTCAAAATTGTAACTAGGGAGAAAAGAAGGCCCCTTAAAAATCAGCAAGGCCATCTGTGTGGAACCGTAGGATATGGGGGAAGATACTAAATTACTAGTTTGCAACAGTGTTTACTGTGGAGAAGGAAATGGAAGTACAGAACGTAGGGAAATAAATAGCAACATCTTGAAATTGTCCATAATACAGAGGAGGAGGTGCTGGAAATCTTAAAACACATAAAGGCAGATAAATCCTGGGACCTGATTAGGTGTACTCCAGAACTCAGTGGGGAGCTAGGGAAGTGATTCCTAAACTCCTTGCTGAGATATCTGTATCACTGTTAGCCACAGTAAAGAAGCCAGAAGACCGGAGGTTGGCTAATGTTGTGCCACTATTTCAGAAAGGCAGTATAGGGAACTATAGGCCTGGTGAGCCTGACATCCGTGGTGGGTAAGTTGTTAGAGGGAAACCTGAGAGACAGTATTTACATGAATTTGGAAAGGTAAGAACTGATTAGGGATACTGAATATGGCTTTGTGCATGGGAAATCGTGTCTCACTAACTTAATTAAGTTTTTCAAAGAAGTGTCGTTGAGGACTGATAGCGGCAAAGTGGTGGACGTGATCTATATGATCAGTAAGGCGTTCTACAAGGTTCCTCATGGTAGACTGTTTAGTATCAATGTTAGATCACAAGCAATATGAGAGAACTTGTTACCTGGATACAGAACTAGCTTTAAGGTAGAAGACACAAGGTGGAGGTAAAGGGCTGCTTTTCAGACTGCAGGCCTGTGACCAGCAGTGCGCCATAAGGACTGGTGCTGGACCCACTGCTTTTCTTTCTTTATATAAATGATTTGAATGTGAACATAGGAGGTATGGTTAGTAAGCTTACAGCTTACAGATGACACCAAAATTGGAGGTGTAGCAGAAGGTTACCTCAGAGTACAATGGGAATTTGATCAGATGGGCCAATGATCCGAGGACTGGCAAATGGATTTTAGTTTAGATGAATGTGAGGTGCTGCATTTTGGAAAGGCAAATCCAGATAGGACTTGTACACTTAATGGTAAGGTCCCAGGAGTGTTGCTGAGCAGAGAGACCTTAGAGTTCATAGTTCCTTGAAACTGGATTTGGAGGTAGACAGGATAGTGAAGGAGGCATTGGTATGCTTGCCTTCATTTGTCAGTATAGGAGTTAGGAAGTCCATGTTGCACTGTACAGTACACTGGTTAGGCCACTTTTGGATTACTGTGTTCAGTTCTGGCGTCCCTGCTGTTGGATGGATGTTGCGAAACTTGGAAGAGTTTGGAAAAGATTTATTAGGATGATGTCGGGTTTGGAGGGTTTGAGCTATAGGGAGAGGATGAATACACTGAGGCTATTTTCCCCAGAGCGTCGGAGGCTGAGGGGTGACCTTTTAGAGGTTTATAAAGTCACTAGGGCATGGATAGGGTGAATAAACAAAGTCTTTTCCACAGGGTACAGGAGTCCAAAACTAGAGAATATATATAGGTTTAAGGTCAGCGGAGAAAGATTTAAAAGGGTCCTGAGGGGTAACTTTTTCACACAGAGGGTGGTGCGTGTGTGGAACGAGCTGCCAGAGGAAGTGGTGGGGGCTGATACAGTTACAACATTTAAAAGGCATCTGGATGGGAACATGGATAGGAAGGGTTTACAGGGATATGGGCTCAAATGCTGGCAAATGGGACTGGATTAATTTAGGATACCTGGGTCAGCACGAACGAATTGGGCCGAAGGGTCTGTTTCCGAGCTGCATGACTGTATGACTTTATGTTCCTTTGCGCCACATGTTACTGTTTTAAAGAATTCCAATAAGTTGGTTAAACATGATTTATATTTCACAAATCCATGCTGAACCATTCTAATTACCCGAACTTTTCCAAAAATTTTTAAGTATAACGAAAACATAACGACAGCTAATATTTTCTTGTGCGTGTGAAATGAGTGCCGGGAGAAGCTCTGCTGATGTGCAGTCGGTTGGTGTTAGGAAGCGGGAGATAGCCCTTTCTCTCCCATGAAGGGTTCTGCTCCGGACTCAGGTGGGAGGCCTGCACAGGTCTCACAGCGCAGCGACAGCGACTGGACCGGAGGGTGGCCGCCAGGATCCCGATCCCAGTCACAATCCCACACCCGGGCCTCAGCCACCGACCCCCCGAGCTCCGGCCCCCGAGGCCCCAGCCCCGGTAACAAAGACCGAGCCTCACTACCTCAGACATTTTGTTTTTTACTCAGGATGCTGAGGGGTCTAACAGGCCGGGATAATAAATCCCGGTGCTGCTTCACCATATCCTCTCCACACGCTTACCGGCTGGAGTACAATAAAATTAAAGCCTTTTCACCACCACATCAACATCGACATATCGAAAGGCCCACAGCAGCCAGCCTGTTTAAAAAACATCAAAGACATTAAGCCGGGACACACCGCACCATCACTGCTCAAATCCACCTGACCCAGGAGAGCCGCCCTACCGGCCTGGAGGACTCCATACACCGAGACCCAGGAGAGCCGCCCCCACCGAGACCCAGGAGCGCCGCCGTGCCGGCCGGGAGGACTCCGTACGCCGAGACCCAGGAGAGCCGCCCTACCGGCCGGGAGGACTCCGTACGCCGAGACTCAGGAGAGCCGCCCTACCGGCCGGTAGGACAACTATCTGGAAGGTCAGCGGAGAAAGATTTAGAAGGGATCTGAGGGGTAACTTTTTCACCCAGAGGGTGGTGCGTGTGTGGAACGAGCTGCCAGAGGAAGTGGGTGGCGGCTGGTACTGTTACAGGATTTAAAAGGCGTCTGGATGGGGACATGGATAGGAAGCGTTTACAGGGATAGTAGGAACTGCAGATGCTGGAAAATCTGAGACAACGAGGTCTAGGCCCGAAACGTCAGCCTTCCTACTCCTCTGATGCTCCTTGGCCTGCTGTGTTCATCCAGCTTCAGGGTTTAGAGGGATATGGGCCAAGTACTGGCAAATTTAGGATATCTGGTCGGCACAGATACCGCTCACGCTTGGACATAGAGCAGTTTTTCCGCCGCCTCCGCCTCCACGCTTACTTCTTTAACCGTGAACCTAACCCTCCCTCTACTGACCCCTTCTCCCGCTTCCAACACACCCCCTCCTCCTGGACACCACCCCAAGGCCTCCTACCCTCCCTCGACCTCTTCATCTCCAACTGCCGTCGAGACATCAATCGCCTCAACCTCTCCACCCCTCTCACCCACTGCAACCTCTCCCCCGCAGAACGTGCAGCCCTCTGCTCCAATCCCAACCTCACCATAAAACCCGCGGCCAAGGGAGGCGCAGTTGTAGTATGGCGCACTGACCTCTACATCGCTGAGGCCAGACGCCAATTCTCCGACACCACCTCCTACCGCCCCCTTGATCATGACCCCACCCCTGAGCACCAAACCATCATCTCCCAAACCATCCACAACCTCATCACCTCAGGTGACCTCCCACCCACGGCCTCCAACCTCATCGTTCCCCAACCTCGCACTGCCCGCTTCTATCTCCTTCCCAAAATCCACAAACCTGAATGCCCTGGTCGACCCATTGTCTCCGCCTGCTCCTGCCCCACCGAACTGATCTCCAACTATCTCGACTCCATTTTCTCCCCCTTGGTCCAGGAACTCCCTACCTATGTCCGTGACACCACCCACGCCCTCCACCTCCTCCAGAACTTCCAATTCCCCGGTCCCCAACACCTCATCTTTACCATGGACGTCCAGTCCCTCTACACCTGCATTCCCCATGCAGATGGCCTTAAGGCCCTCCGCTTCTTCCTGTCCCGCAGGCCCGACCAGTCCCCCTCCACTGACACCCTCATCCGCTTAGCCGAACTCGTCCTCACACTCAACAACTTCTCTTTCAATTCCTCCCACTTCCTACAGACAAAGGGGGTAGCCATGGGTACCCGCATGGGCCCAAGCTACGCCTGCCTCTTTGTAGGTTACGTGGAACAATCCCTCTTCCGTACCTACACCGGCCCTAAACCCCACCTCTTCCTCCGTTACATTGATGACTGTATCGGCGCCGCCTCGTGCTCCCACGAGGAGCTCGAACAGTTCATACACTTCACTAACACCTTCCACCCCAACCTTAAGTTTACCTGGACCATCTCTAACACCTCTCTCTCCCCTTCCTGGACCTCTCTGTCTCCATATCGGGCAACCACCTCGAAACCGATATTCATTTCAAGCCCACCGACTCCCACAGCTACCTAGAATACTCCTCCTCCCACCCACCTTCCTGCAAAAATGCTATCCCCTATTCCCAATTCCTTCGCCTCCGCCGCATCTGCTCCCAGGATGAGGCATTCCACTCCCGTACATCTCAGTTGTCCTCGTTTTTCAAGGACCGTAACTTCCCCTCCTCGGTGGTCGAGAACGCCCTCAACCGTGTCTCCCACATCTCCCGCACCTCATCCCTCACACCCCGTCCACGCAATAAAAACCAAAAAAGAATCCCCCTCGTCCTCACGTACCACCCCACCAACCTCCGGATCCAACGCATCATCCTCCGACACTTCCGCCATCTGCAATCCGACCCCACCACCAAAGACATCTTTCCCTCCCCACCTTTATCTGCTTTCCGGAGGGACAACTCTCTCCGTGACTCCCTTGTCCGCTCCACACTCCCCTCCAGCTCCACCACACCCGGCACTTTTCCCTGCAACCGCAGGAAGTGCTACACCTGCCCCCATACCTCCTCCCTCACCCCCATCCCAGGCCCCAAGAAGACTTTCCACATCAAGCAGATGTTCACCTGCACATCTGCCAATGTGGTATACTGCATCCGCTGTACCCGGTGTGGCTTCCTCTACATCGGGGAAACCAAGCGGAGACTCGGGGACCGCTTTGCAGAACACCTACGCTCGGTTCGCAACAAACAACTGCACCTCCCAGTCGCGAACCATTTCAACTCCCCCTCCCATTCCTCAGACGACATGTCCATCCTGGGCCTCCTGCAGTGCCACAACGATGCCACCCGAAGGTTGCAGGAACAGCAACTCATATTCCGCTTGGGAACCCTGCAGCCCAATGGTATCAATGTGGATTTCACAAGTTTCAAAATCTCCCCTCCCCCCACCGCATCCCAAAACCAGTCCAACTCGTCCCTGCCTCCCTAACCTGTTCTTCCTCCCACCTATCCCCTCCTCCCACCTCAAGCCGCACCTCCATCTCCTACCGACCAACCTCATCCCGCCCCCTTGACCTGTCCGTCCTCCCTGGACTGACCTATCCCCTTCCTAACTCCCTACCTACACTCACCTTTCCTGGCCCCATCCCCGCCTCTTCGACCTGTTTGTTTCCTCTCCACCTATCCTCTCCTCTATCCCTCTTCTATCCGCCTCCCACTCTCTCCCTATTTATTTCAAAACCCCCTTCCCCTCCCCCTTTTCTGATGAAGGGTCTAGGCCCGAAACGTCAGCCTCTCTGCTCCTATGATGCTGCTTGGCCTGCTGTGTTCATCCAGCCCTGCACTTGTTATCACTGTTTAACATTGCAGTGCAGATCTAGTTGGGACTGATCTGACAGTGTGTAACACTGCACTACAGTACTGGTGGGGAGAGTTCTGTTGCTGTAAAGCACAAAGGTACAGTACTGATTGGGATACATCTGTCACTGTTTAACTCAAAGGCACAGTACTGGTGGGAACAGGTCTGTAACTGTATAACACTTGGCCACACTACTGCTGGGGTCAGTTCTGTCTGTGAGTAAAATTGTTGTACAGTATTGGTGGGAACAGTTCTGTCTGAATATCACTGCGTTACAGTACTATTGGGAATTGATCTGTAATGTCAGTAACACTGAGGCACAGTAATTGTGTGGAGATCTCTGTCACAGCGTGACCCTGTCATACAGCGTTGCTGGGGTGAACTCTCACTGTATGACACTGGATAATAATACTATCATGAGGTTACCATGTGTGCTCAGTACTGGTGGGGTATGTCGTTCTCTCGATAACACTGAGGTACAGTGCCATTGGGGTTCATTCTGTCGCTCTATACACTGCGGAATAGTAATGATGGGGACAGAACTGACGTTGTCTTAGAATGGTGTGCAGTACTGGTGGGGACATGTCAGTCATTGTACAGCACTCAGGTACACTACTGGTGAGGACAGATCTGCCACTGTATAACACTTGGTTAGAATACTGCTGGGGACAGATCTGTGAGGTACACTGTTTGACAGTACTGGTGGGGTGAGATCTGTCACTTTGTAATTCTGTCGTACAGCACAGCTGGGGGGAGATCTCAGAGATAGTAAAAACAGCCGATGCTGGAGTTTAAGATAACACAGTGTGGAGCTGGAGTAACTCAGCAGAGGAATAGGCAAGCTGACGTTTCAGGTCGGGACCCTTTTCCAGCTCCACACTGTGTTATGGGGGGTGATTTCACTGTTTAACAGGGGATAACAGTACTGGCAGGGACTGGTCCTTCAATGTTTACTGGGGTACAGTACTGGTGCAGACGGGTCAGTCTCTCGATTATACTGAGGTACAGTACCGGTGTGGGTCGGTCTGTTACTCTGTAACACTGGAGTACAGAAATGATGGGGACAGTTCTGCCTGTTAATAAGGCGGTTGTACAGTACTCATGGGGACAGATCAGTCAGTTTATAACTATGGGTTACAGTGCTGCTGGGGACATGTCTGTCACTGCATAACAGTGGGATACAGTACTGATGGGGCAGGGCTGTCACTGTATAACACTGGCGTACAATTCTGGTGGGGACATGTCTGTCGCTGCATTACGCTGGGGTACACAACTGGTGGGGAGAGATCTGTCATGTTGTAATGCTGTCATACAGCACACCTGAGGAAAGATCTCATTGTTTAACAGAGGATAACAGTACTGGCAGGGACTGGTCTATCAATGTTTACCACTCGGGTACAGTACCCCAGTAGTGGGGATCTGTTACTCTGTAACACTGGAGTACAGAAATGGTGGGGACAGTTCTGACTGTTAAGAGGCTGTACAGTAATGAGGGGGAGAGGTCTGTAACTATTTAACACTGAGTTACAGTACTGTTGGGGACAGGTCTGTACTGTATATCTCTCGGTACAGTAGTAGTGGGAAAGGTCTATCACTATATAACTCTGGTTTACTGTGCTGCTGGGGACAGGTCAGTCGCTGTATAACCCTGTGGTACTGTACTGGTGGGGACAGGTCTGTTACTGTATAACCCTGGTGTACTGTACTGAAGGAGACAGGTCTGTCGCTGTTTAGTACTGGGGTACTGTGCTTCTGGGGACAGATCTGTCTGAGTACTGGTGGAACAGGCATGTCGCTATATAACACGGGTTTAAGGTACTTCTGGGGACCTGTCTGTCACTGGATATCACTGGGTGCTGTACTGGTGGATGTAGGTCTGTTACTGTGTAACATTGAGGTCTGTGCTCCTCGGGGCAGATCTTTCATTGAGTAACACTATGGTACAGTACTGTGGGAACTTGTCTATCTCTGAGTAACACTGCAGTACAGCGTATGTGACAAGTGATCTGTCACTATGTAACGCTTATGTATAGCACTGCTGGGAACAGCTTTAACTATATAACACTGGAGAACAGTACTGGTGAGAACAGTTCTGTCACTGTATAATACTGGCGTACAGTACTGGTGGGGACAGGGCTGTACTGTATATTTCTGGGTACTGTCGCAGT